TTTCTCCCAGTGTGCTAAGAGGTGTTACGTTTTAACGCTAAGTTAATACGTAGCGATGATAGTTGAGCTTTACGGAATAATTCGCTCGATCGAATCTTGAGAGAGGTGGCGTAAATACTACAGATATTTATAATACGATTTCTTCTCAATTTATTCCTTGCTTCCTAACCATAATTGCGGATTGTTGTGGCCGTTGAACGGCATCGGTTTCTAAGAAGGTCCCCAAGACAGATTAAATTTGATTTTTTTTTTTTTTTGTTTGACAGGTAATATATTGAACGTTAGACAATTTTATTGTTTAGTACAATCAATGATAGCGTGTCTCCCTAATGCAAATTGAAACACCTACTTGTGGCCATCAGCCACAAACGGTTGCTGCTTCTACATGCAATTTACACACAATGCCACCATTGAAGCTGCTCATTAATTACAGCGAACGTCGAAGAGTGAATTGTCAGGTGTTGGCTGTCAATGCTGACAGAAATTGACTCTTTCAGTTCCCGTATCTGCACAAATCATTAATATTTCGTCGAAGAGCACAACGGCGTCTACCACAGACCACATTCCCACAACTCGTACATAAATATCACTGCTTCTCCAAATGCTTCCAACTCATGCGGCGCATATGACTACACTTTAGTACACGAAAGGTACACGAGTGCGCCAAATAGAATAATAGAATGCCAAGGCTGGCAATCGAAGATTGTTGCTTAATTTCTTTAATTCGCCACATATGCATATGTATGTATGTAAATGTGATTTCAAACCATGTTTTGTGTAGACAAAACTTTTACCTGCACTCGACATGAGTTTAATTAGTTTTGATAGTTCGACAGAAGGGAGCTAACGAAGCTCGTCTCTTTGCAAGGCTTTTTGTTGCAAATTAGGCGAGGTCTTAATGATAATATAATTTATTTTAATTTATGCACAGATTTAGCTTTAAGTGAGTGCACTTAATTAATTACATTAATTAATTGAGTATGTAAATGACATACAGTTGAACTACCTTACTCAAACCTTACACCCGCGTCCGCATTTAGTACCACGGGCAGACTGAATAACTTTGAGAGGGATGTGTGGAACTCAGGATCTTGACTAAGAAAGAGGTAACATTGATGGACCACTCATGGAAGATGATGCTTCTGCGATAAGAAGCTCGTGGGTGAAAACATCCATCCAATGGAAGAACCAAGTGCATGGGACCTCTGTGCACTTAGGATGTGCAACTGCAGTGACTTGGCAAGGATTGAGGCAATCACAGAGCTTTGCGTTCTCAGTCTAGACCATCTACGGTTGTAGTGCCAAAACAGAAGTTATTTTATTCATTTATTGAAAACAAGTATTTTATATTTCTAGTTTTTGAACCTTTTCCTACTTTTTTAAAGAAAACACACGGATACTACAAATTTTATAATAAATGGTTAATATAATTCGAAAGAACGTTCTTCGGCATTTATATTTTGAATATTGCGATGAGTGGGAAGTGGCACCGACTTATTGAAACCAAATTTCGTCGAAATCACCAGCTTCAATTTCAGGCATCAAATGGTCGGTTATCATGGCGCGATAACAGTCGCCATTGACGGTTACGTTTTCACTGATTCCACCGCCCTACAAACCACACCAAATCCAAATGCGGTATTTTGCTTATTTCGGTCAAAAATGGGCTTCCTCGCTGAACAGAATTTGGCACGAAAACCTGGGATCTTCTTGGAACTTTTCAAGAGCCCATAAAGCAAAGTGATCTCTCTTGGGAAGGTCGAGCGGCTGCAGTTCTTGCACAAGGTGCATTTTGTACGCTTTCAATTTAAGATTCATCAGTCCGAGTTGCTGCGAACGGAGAACGAATCGATTCTCTTAGCTACGACTTCTATATTTTCTTCACTGCATGCTCGACCTGGTCTATTCGGTCGAATATTATTCAATAATGAAAGCTGGATCTAAAGATGGGTGTTGGTGTTATTCGTATGTTCAGTAGGCCGATTATATTGGTCACAAAGTGAGCGAAGCGTGGCAAACACATTTCATATCGTGATCTGTCAAAAGAGGCTTTTGACTTCTACTTGGATCATCTGTTATAATCAGACACCGACTTTTACCTCTTATAAAATATATTTAACTAGATTCTTCTTACCTTTGTGCATTTTTTTGTTTGTATTGATTTTTCAAATCCATTTTTGATTAGCTCACAGCTAGGCAATCGAATCAGCGCCTTCAATGCAATTAAGCACTTCCATTATTGTCCATATATAGTAAAATAATGTGAGCTTGAATATGAAACTATTATAAAAATGCAGCATCATTGAGAGGAGAGCAGGAACTAGAAAACTAACGTTGTGAATGAAGCAACCAACCACTCACCCGATTGCTATTGAATCTTGTACATTAACTCTTACGTGAGCTTATATAATTGTCTGGCCACATTTATGTCCGTGGAGAATTTATATGCAGTCACTAACACAAAAATACCATATATACCTTATAGCTTATAAAATTATATGAACAAAAGCAATTGTAATTTCTTCATAAAGTATTTCCTCATACATAATGAATTATAGTAAATTTTTGTGGCAGTAATTAATTTTGCACAGAAATTATGGCATTCCCACGAGTGTAAATAACTACTTGGCTTGATTGATGAAATTTCCTCTGCTAGTTCTCACAACCAATACATTTCTGTTATTGCTGATCAATGGAAGACAGTCAGTGGTCAGTTTTTTGAACTACAGACTTCGTCGTGTTTAATTTAAGCGAAACAATAGTAGTTTCTTCTGAAAGAAGAACATTACTTTAAAAATAAATGAATACACGGGGCAATAATTTGACAAATTCCTGCCCTATCTGGATTTCATGGCAATGTCCTGAAAAGGGATCCACGGAGAGGCTGTTTCAGTTAGAGGAAATAGAAAAAAATCACACACACACAGTCAAATGTGGTGAATGCGATGGTTGATCGATGGTATTTATTACGTTTTTGGCTTTAAATTCGGTCACAAGAGTAGCTCGATGCGATTACCATTGTGTAAAACCGTGAACTGTGCTCCTACAATTCCGTCCGTTTTCGACGAATGTTCTCAAACGCCACCAAACGGCAAAATTGAGCTCTTTATTGACCATCTATCCCTCTGAAACAAATCCATGTTACACCATAAACGAATATCGGAAAAATCGAGCGGCTTTGAGTGGTTTTTTGGTGTCGACTCGTTTTTTCCCTTCATTCCGATGATTTTAGACTTGTTTGCTTGTCAAACTCATAAATCCATGCCTCATTGACAATAATAATGCTTTCCATGAGTGAGAGAAGTGTTAAACTGTATTCTTTTTGGAAAAAAAATCTGCATTATCGGGACGTGTAGAGCAAGAACGAGTTTCATTTACAAAATATCCATCAAAATCAATCGAACGGACTCGCCAGAAATGTCAAGCACTCTTGCCACCTCTCCAGCAATTTCCGGAAGATCTTCAAGCACCATATCCTTCCTCGTCCAGAACGAGGCATGTTTTCAACGATCTCTCGACCGTCGTTGAAGGCTTTGTACCACTCCTAGGCTTGTGCTTTTGTTAAAACTAAATCCCCGCAAACCTTTTCCAACATTCGGAACGGTTTCACACGAAATTTGGTTAGAAATTATAAAAGTCGCAACGTACTACTGAGGTGTATCGACTTAAGTAGCAACTGTAAACAAACTGGTTGACAGATCTCACTCATATTTGGCATAATAATTAAGGACAGTCATACCAACTTAGCAAATTCCATTTTTTGAAATATTATTTCCCCAGAGATTTTAATTATAACTCTCGGGCCATAACGTTTTCCATGTCTTGAATTCGATATATCGATTGATCTCATCATTCCGATAATTCAAGTTACTTCCGATTGAACAACTCCAATTACATCACCGAACTTATATTTCTTTCATAAGCTGGAGTACGGGGAGTACCTGTATGCACAAAAGGATATTTCCATTAACTTCATTTACGGTCCCCGGAACTAGTTTTGTCTTTTTCGCTGGAATATAGCTATTCTTTAACTAGCGAATTTGATTCATATTTTTCAAAATTGAAATTCGTGTCGACGTCCAACTCTATAACATAATTCTTTCTTGAACTAATTACGAATGATTATTTATTTAGACGTGTGGTTTTCAGTGAGGCAGATTTTTCGAAGTTGATATTTTTGACAGTTTGGCTTACAATTTCATAATGAACAGACAGACCAGACTTGCTCCAAAACAACACTGGCAAATCGTGCAAAATTATTTATTAATAATGATTCGGTTCTCACGCCATCGCGCACAATAAGTCTGGGTTTGCGAGCTTACAAAATTCAACTCACGCAAGAATTGAAGCCGAACGACCGCCCATCAAGCGCGTTGCATATTCAGTGAATGGAAGATAGCCACCGACTTCACAAGAATATTTTGTTCAGTGATGAGGCTCACTTTTGGTTAAATGAATGCGTTAATAAACAAAATTGTGTTATAAAAATTCACAAGCAATTGTTGAGCCGGCGTCAGTGCAGTATAATTAGGTTCAAGCCAATAAGCTAGTCTTCAATTGGAATTAACTGTGTATTTAACTGTAAGTTGCTGATCCAAAATCGTTGGCGAATTGTAAACAAGGTGGATCTCATGTATGTCCTCAAATTCGCTACAAATGTAAATGCCAAAATAAGCAAAAAGTTCCGTCTGCATAAAAAACAGCCATCGCCCCTTGACCGCGCGGGTTATAGTTAACTTAAGCAAACACACTCGCACAATCGTTAAGTGGTTTTCGTACATATTTGCGGCTACAAAATTTACTTGACATTGCGCGTTTTATCGTTTTCGCTTAACCCATTGCTAATTAACATTGAACACGGCTGGATTTTTGTTTTTATCGTAAAATTTATTTTTAAATAGTCATATAATTTATATTTTTCGTAAATGTCAACTGGCATTCGCGTCCGTGGTAAACGATCGTTTGTCTCTTTTTAGACAGTATGGAAGACATGTTGCTCATACATTAATTTTAGTTTTTATTGTTTTTTTTATTATTAAATTCTTCATAAAAATTTCGTGGTTGTTTATAATACTAAATGGGCGAGTTTCATGTGTTGAGTACAATAATTTAATATGAGAAGGGTCTAGATGGTTTGTTGTAGTTATAACCATCAGGTCCGAGAGAACCCGCCTCGGGACCGCTGGGTCCTGTTGGTCCACCAGGGCCGCCTGGTCCACCTGGACCGCTTGGGCCACCTGGTCCTCCTGGACCATATGAACCGCCTGGGCCTTGTGGACCACTTGGACCGCTGGGACCACTTGGTCCACCTGGGCCTTGTGGACCACCTGGACCATATGAACCGCCTGGTCCACCTGGACCGCTTGGGCCACCTGGTCCTCCTGGACCATATGAACCGCCTGGGCCTCCTGGACCGCCTGGTCCACCTGGGCCTTGTGGACCTCCTGGACCGCTGGGACTACCTGGACCATATGAACCACTTGAGCCTCCTGGACTACCTGGGCCTTGTGGACCTCCTGGGCCGCTAGGACCACCTGGGCCATATGAACCACCTGGACCTCCTGGACCGCTGGGACCACCTGGACCATATGAACCGCCTGGACCACCAGGGCCTTGTGGACCACCTGGACCGCTGGGACCACATGCACCTCCTGGACCATATGAACCTCCTGCACCTTGTGGACCACCTGAACCGCTAGGACCACATGGTCCTCCTGGGCCTTGTGGACCTCCTGGACCGCTGGGACCACCTGGACCATATGAACCGCCTGGACCACCTGGGCCTTGTGGACCGCTTGGACCTCCTGGACCACCTGGGCCTTGTGGGCCACTTGGACCACCTGGACCATATGAACCGCCTGGACCTCCGGGACCACTTGGTCCGCCTGGTCCACCTGGACCTTGTGGACCTCCTGGACCGCTGGGACCTCCTGGATAACTAGGCTGAGGAGCAGGGTATGAAGGTTTTGGAGCTGGATAGCTTGGTCGAGGTGCCGGTTGACTAGGTTGCGACGGACGAGGTTGTGGTTGTGGACGAGGCGCCGGTTGTTTTGGGCCTACTTCATTTTCACCAGGTGGTGGCAAATATTCTGGACCAGGTTTGGCAGGCTGTGATGGTTTTGGCTGTGGTTGTGGACGTGGCTGGTATGTTGGTCCCGGAGTGGGTTGCTGTGGCCGTGGTTGATAAGTTGGACCAGGAGTAGGTTGTTGTGGTCGTGGTTGATAAGTTGGTCCGGGAGTGGGTTGTTGTGGTCGTGGTTGATATGTTGGACCGGGAGTGGGTTGTTGTGGTCGTGGTTGATAAGTTGGTCCAGGAGTGGGTTGTTGGGGTCGTGGTTGATAAGTTGGACCAGTAGTTGGCCCTGCTGGGGGTATATACTCAGGACCAGGTTTTGGCTGACCTGGCTGTTGTGGACGCGGTTGTGGCTGTGGTCGTGGCTGAGGCTGAGGTTGAGGACGTGGAGCAGGATATGACGGCTGTGGTTGTGGCTGAGGTTGAGGTTGGGGTTGAGGTTGAGGCCTTGGGGCAGGATATGAGGGCTGAGGTTGAGGTTGTGGGCGTGGCTGTGGTTGAGGACGAGGTCTTGGCTGCTGTGGTTGGTCGGGAGGCAAATATTCCGGTCCTGGCTGTGGTGATGGCGCTGGACGACCCGGTTGAGGTTGTGGACGAGGTGCTGGCTGTGTTGGCTGTGAGGGTGCTGGATATGAAGGTTGAGGCCGAGGTTGTGGCTGCGAAGGAGCGGGATATGAAGGTTGTGGTCTTGGTTGTGGTTGTGGCTGTGGACGTGGTGCTGGATATGATGGCTGTGGTTGAGGTTGTGGGCGTGGCGCTGGATACGAAGGATGTGGTTGCGGCTGTTGCTGTGGGCCTGGCGCTGGATACGATGGCTGCGAGGGAGCTGGATATGAAGGTTGTGGCCTTGGTTGTGGTTGCGGCTGTGGACGTGGCTGCGGCTGTGGCTGTGGTCTTGGTTGATATTGTACATCATCTATGCCATTGCCCGAAGGTGGTGCTGGAAAAGGCACCGAAGGCTGCTTATAATGATAACCATCCTCCTGCAAGTCGCTACTCAAGTGTGAGACATCAGCATGCGCACCAGTGGCCGCTAGTGCCAGCAGTAGTACAAATAATTTCTGTAAAATATATGCAAAAAAAAAAAATGTCAAAATTTTTTAGGTGTCATGCCATAAAATATAAACATTATATACTGATGTATGTATGTAAAGAAGTCAAGTTTGGCAAGCAGCTATTACGCAAGTCATAATTGCTTACAATGTGTAGTGTATCCGCAAACTAGTCATTAAATCATAATACACTTTGCCGCCTGCACTATTCAAATCAGTTGAAAACAATCAAAGCGTCTTCAATCAACAAACAAATCTACAATTGTAAGCACAGTCTCCGACTCGCCTAAAAATGTCGGTAAGAAACGCAAAACGAAAAAAAGTTGTACAAATTAAAAAAGGTGTTATTACGCGAGCTGCATCATAGGCCGCCCTTAAAAGTTATGGTTTTGTACCACTTCACAATTTCGTGATGGTATTCTCAATAAGCTGGGAACTGATTGTGCATTGAGCTGCCTCTTGCTTTGCAATTGCACTGTGCTTCATGTCACGATTTCGAAATAAGCCCGACAATAACGCCATAGCAATGTAGGTAAAGAAGCAAAAAACTGCATTAGACTCAATGTTTTGTTCGTTTTTCGAAAAAAAAAAAAAAACAAATTTTGCTACGACATAACCGAATTTCTCCATCACAAGTTGTGTTTCTATTATTATAGCTAGCGTTGTAGTTTCCGAGTCAACCCTCCGTTAGGCCGTTAGGCCGTTAGGCGCCCAAAATACTTGGCTGTATAAATAGAGATTCGCTATATTTGGTTGTTAAGAAATTGTTGTTGTTGGTTTTTTAGCAACAAGTCAGACAGACGTTGGTCTTCAACTTTTCATTTTGCATTTTCAGCATTGCCTGGTATTCTTTGTCTTCACCTATGACATAAATTTCGTTGCTAAGCACATATCGTCACACTAACTCATAAATCACATTTCGCGCTAATAGTAGGTAATAAATACCACATACACACGTATGTACATATGTATATATGTACACATACATATGTGCCTCAACATGTTGCAAAATAACTGCTTTGCTAGTGCAAGTTACCGTCTTGCGAAATTAAGATGCCCATTATGATTATTTCTTAAACGCTGGCTGGCTTGTCTTTAACTCACCATTCTCAAGTTTCGGTCGCTAGTACACGACTAAAGAAAGTTACGTAATATATTTTGCGATCCTTGTCTGTATAATTATATATTATTCATATAATTGGTAATGAAATTTTAATATTATCACTAAACGTTTGGAGTTCGCGAATTCACTTGGTAGTTGGTTCACAACTGTTGCACGCCCGATCACCGAATGCTGACCAATTGTTCTCGCTCAGCTCAATTTATATGAAAATGCGCGCGGTTCATGGATGCTACGATGCTAGTAGGGAATCCCAACTCTCGCGCGCGCGCAGTCGCGTCATCTCAATTGTTTCTCCACAGTAGCATCAAATGTGCGAATACCTTAGACTCTTTCCCTTACAGAAAATACTATTAGATTCAGTGGCTGGCTAAGCTGTCAATCCGCTAAGCCGCCGGCAACCTCAATAGCAGCGTCATCGCAGTCAAAGCGACCTGAGACTCAGCAGCAGCAACAACGTAGCAAACGAGCAGTTATACTCGTACAAAAAATACAACAAATACGAGTAAGGTAAACAAACAAACCAAAAGTCATTTAATAAAGCGGTGGCGCACGCTCAGTAGGTGAGCGCAGACACACCATGTCACATTTACATATACACAAAGGTTTTTCCAAACTCTACGATCTTTATAAAAACAACAACTAACTCTATGATCTTTATGAAAACAACAAGTATGTATGTAGCAGCATCATAATTGCGTTCGACGGCTGTACATAGCTTATAAATATGGTGGTTTTAATTATTTATGAAAATTCGCTAATAAATTCAATATTAAATGTTATTGTAATTAAATAAAGTTTGCGCATAAATTAGTGATTATTTTAAATTTTTAATATTCAGCACCGAAGTGAAATACAATTTCCTTTTTTTACTGTGATTGCAGAACATTAATAATAATTCCATGTGTAAGTATTTTGGGCGACATTCCCACGAAAAGTAGTTGTTGGTGGCTTTGAGGATATTGCTCCTGTAAGGTAACGAAACTGTTTATTAAATATAGGCATTTGGTGGAATGTTTAAGCGTTAAAATTGGTTTATCTCAATTTTGCGCAAAACTATGTGTTATGGAACTCCAGCCGAGGAGCCATTATACTCTTCACAAGTGTCATCAGTCGCATACTAACATATGCTGTGATGGTATGGTGCATGGGATTATACAAAAAGTGCCGTGGAACAGTTGCGACGGGCCTAGTTGCAGGGCTCTGCAGGTTATCCTCGACCTCTGGCCAATACATATATAAGTGGTATATGAAGCAATGCTTATGATTTTAGTCCACGAGCCATATAAACCGTCTGGGCCTCCTGGATCACTTGGACCGCTGGGATCACCTGGACCACATGAACTGTTTGGGCTTCCCGAACCACCTAGATCTTGTGAACCACTTGGACTGCTTGAACCATATGAACCGTCTGGGCTTAGTAGACCTGCACAACATCTGCTGGGGTGGTATGGTGGATGGCATTAAAACAACAAGTGCCGTATTAAACACTTGTAAACAGTTGCGGCAGGCTTTCTTGCTAGGTATTACGGGCGTAATGAAAGCTATGTCAACAAAGGCTCTGAAGGTTATCCTCGACATCCGACCAATATATCTGGAAGTGGTTTATTAGACAATAATCATTTTTTTAGGCCATTGCAGTCAGACTCGGCGTCACTATGCCCGTATCATACTCGACCTTGCTATGAACTCTGGCTAAATTTTCAATGCGACCAGGAAAAGGAATCCCATGAAGAATTAAATACTAAATTTTCACTCCCCCATAGAGAAAAACGAGCTGATGGTTCTGTGATCAACAGTTCCAACAGTGGAATCTACATATTCACCGACGGATCAAAGGTTGAAAAAGGAACTGAAACGAACTTCTTGTGTAGTAATCCTTACACAGAAGTTAGATTCAAACTAAATAGCAGAAAGTGCTAAATGTGCATCCATTCTAACCAACAAGTTCATAAACCTTCTATTGGAGAGCAAAGCGGCTATTAAGGATGTGATAGTATACACTATCGAAATTCAAATTTATACGGGCGCCACAGCGTTTCTTGTGGAAAGGGAACAGAGTGGAGAACATAGCGACTCCAACCTTTAAACGCGTTTTTCTCAGAATTGTGTTTTTCAAAACGGTTTCCACTCACAAGAGAAGAGTTTTGAAGATATTCCAATTTGGAGAGAACATTTTTAACGACATTCACTATCGCGCTATGGAAGCTTTTATTTTATTTTAAATCTTTCTATTTCTTTCTACGAAAAACTGTCGCAAAAAAGTTCAAGTTCCATTCTTTTCGCTCAACCCGTCGCTATTATGTCAAATTTCAAAACCTTTCATAGGGCGATAGCGACATTCCTACAGATTAATAATCTTTCCGAAATTTTTGTTTTAGCCCAAAAGTACGGCCGCAATCGTGAACATCGTACAGAACCCTTTTTTTACGTGTAATTTCAACAATTTATCTAACTTTTATACACCCAATAAATAAACATAAAAAACTGTAATTTTTTATTCCTCATAAATGTATTTATTTATAAAAAAAAATCAGGAAAATCAGTGTGTAATTCCGTTAATATAAACCCACTCGGAAGGACTCTAATGAAAAATCTCAGGTCCTGGAACACCAGCAACACGGGGCATAACGCAGAGTTACTTTGGGTTAGTGTTGATGGTGGACTGACAAGAAAGCTTCTCGCACTTCTAGGCAAAAGGGAACTTAGTAATTGTAGGTGTTATTATACCACTTTTAGAGAATTGTAAAACTCGATTCGATGAAATGCAGGGCATGTGTACAGGATTATAAAATGCTGGCTCTATTCGAATGCCCTGCCTTCAGCTAAGGATTCAACTTATGAGACATAGCAACTGTAGTGGAAAAAATCAGGTTTTTACTAAATTTACTGAGCTGCTGGATATGGCTTAATTTGGTTACCAGCTGAGAGGACCATTGTAAACATGGTCTAAGTATGGTCGACTTCGTTCTCGGCTCACGTGCACGCTTTTTCAACCCACCAACCAATCAAGTTGCATGAAATAATCTATTATTTTGTTATTAACAACTTTTTCACATAACCTCAAAATGTATGCGAAAAAATTCAAATATCCAAATGGTTGAATTTTTTTCTTTTTTTTCTTATAAAAAATAAGTCTCTTTTACGATCTTTGAAGGTGATGTAACTGCTTGTCTCAAACATACTGTATTTTTCATGTCTAAAATATTAAGAAGAAAACTTTATTTCCATTTAAATTTGGAAAAAACCCAATTGGCAAAAAAAAAAAAAAAAATCTCACTGAATAGTTCACCGTCACAATAATTGATTGGAAATTATCGAATATTCGATTTTAGTCGAAAATCTAATCAACCCAGTCGAGAATATCGTTAATCATAATATTCGCTGCTTTCTAAGCACTTTTTTTGTAAGCGCTCAAGAATAACAGAACTGTCAAACTTACTTTCATGATGTTACGAACCAATGGACAAAAGGACAAAACTGTACAAATATTGTTTCCGTGTGTTGAACTTGTGAAAAAAATAGAGGAAAATGTATATTTTTGATCTTTATCGATAAACGAATTCGACTCATATTACTCACTGAAGTACATAGCACATATGTAATGATAATAAATGCTCATAAATTGCAATAACGATTTCAATAAACCGAGTTTAAATGGTTGCAATCTTCTGCGAAGAGTGCTCATGAGCAGTATAACTATGCAATTTTTATGTGAGTCATAATTCGAATTATCATATCTGTATTAAAATAGCAATTTGCAGCTGGGATCTCCAATTTATATCATCTATTAAGTGCACGGCATTAAAAATCCAAACACCTTCTTGAGAAACTTGCAATATCCACTGACCCAAAAAGTGCAACTGTGTCAACTCAAATTGCATTTAATATTTATTATTTCAAGCATAAATAGAGTTTATGCAAATACATTATAATATATATTATAGAGAGTAGTATAAATGAAATCGCAGACTATAATTGCTGCAGCGCTGGGAATTCGCATCTAGCGCTGTCAGTGTGGCTTCGTGGCGAATTTTAGCATTATTGTCATAGTGTCGCCGATATTGTTATGCATTTCATTCAATGTCCGCTTACTATTACACTGCGGCAGTTCGCTGGTTTCTATACTTTCTGATTCAATCAATATGAAATTAATAAGCCATTATTTGTAGTTGCATTATGGCAATTGGTTATTCTGTGCGAGTGCATACACACATACTTAAGCGCACACACACAAACATCGATCAAAAAATCTTTTCATTACATAATAAAATATTTTTACGACTGATTTTGAATGATGAAACCGCAGTTGAATTTCAAATTATTTTTAAAGTTTCTGCCCACACACATACACATACACGCAAATGCATGCTTATGCAGCTACGAATATTAGGGTGCACAAACGACTAAGCGTGCGTTCCAAATCCGGTTTGACGTTATGCAGCGACAGACACAGTTTGGCAGTAGGAATTTCTATTCCATAAATATTAAATGAGACAGGCCTTGTTGACCTTTAGTTTTGTAAATTGAAAAATTCTTAGTAGTGCTCTCTTCGAATTGCCTAGTAAATGCACGTTTTTAAACTCATCGTTCAAAACAGTGGAAGATCAGTCACTCGAACAGCGTGACACAAGTCTAAATTCAAGCGAAAATTTGTTTCTTACTGTTTGTGAACATAAAAAATGTATCCGCTCAAGTTTATTTCTACATTATACTAAAAGGATTTTCGTATACGCACATCTGAATATCATCATAGGTTTAGACTAAAGGAATTCCCCTTATTAGTCACCTGCACTTAAGGTCACTCTAAGGTACTTAGTAAGTTCCCGTTTCTACCCAAACCACGGATTTTCTGAACCATATAGAATTGATGTTAAATCGGTCCTTAGTCCTTAGTATGGTCATCCCTTCTAGAGAAGGTTCGGAAAGGAATGCGGTGGTCAGGTACGCAGGGATAAATATTTATACCGATAGCTCCAAACAAGATCATCGAATTGAGGTAGTGTATTCTCTGCAAATTAGGCACCAGAATCGCTTTTCGTCTATCAAAGTGCGTTTACAACTAGGAATATAAAAGATTATCCATTTCGAGGTACCTACTTTTTCAGAGAAAAAACACATAAACTTCAAATTTAATAGGGAATGTTTATAATCATTCGAA